GCTAAAGGTTGCGCTGTTGAGAGTGAGACAGTCTAGTTTTATTCTCTGTAGCTATATATCTTTTAAATAGCGTGATATGATTCGTGCTTTTACAAGGTAAAAAAGGTTAAGTTGTCTTTAAAATCTGAGTGATTTATTTGAAGGCATTTCACTTCAACCATAATTAGCTTCAGGTTGACCAGACAAAGAGTCAAATAGCAGGCTCAGTCTCTTGACCTCTCGCAGCAGAGAATTCAGTCAGCTCCTAATCAGTGAACTACTCTCCATATAATCCCTGTCAGAGGGAGACTTTATTTGTTATGAAATCATTGAGCTGGGAATAGTTTGCCCACCACCTGGCTTTGCAATAGACAGGTGAAGTGAAGAGCCGCCAAAGACAGGTCATTCTGCTATTTATTACGCTACCACAGAATATTAATACAGTACCTTGTTTTGGAGCGATGGTATGCCTTAAAAGGCTACATGTGAAAGTTCTAAATATTTCAGAAGTGAGTCATATAGTAACTGCCCCAAATCTTAGGAAAATACAAACCCATTTCCAAAAAAGTTGGGACGCTGTGCAGAATGTAAATAAAAATAGAATGCAATGATATGTAAATCATCTAAACCATATTTTTAAAAGAAAATACTGCAAAGACAATATATCAAATGTTGAAATTGAGAAATTGTATAGTTTTTTTTGAAAAATATATGCCCATTTTGAATTTGATGCCAGCAACACGCTCCAAAGAAGTTGGGACAAGGTTATGTTTGCCACTGTGTTTCATCACCTCTTCTCTTAACAGCACTCTGTAAGCGTTTGGGAACCAGGAGGAGACCAATTGCTGTAGTTTTGAAAGGGAAATGTTTTCCCATTCTTGTTTGATACAGGATTTCAGCTGCTCAACAATTCAGGGTCCCCTTTGTCATATTTTTCATTTCACAATGTGCCAAATGTTATCAGTGGGTGACAGGTCTGAAGTGCAGGCAGGCCAGTTTAGCACCTGGACTCTTTTAATATGGAGCCATGCTGTTGTAATACATGCAGAATGTGGTTTGACATTTTCTTGCTGAAAAAATCAAGACCTTCCCTGTAAAAGACGTCATCTGGATGGCAGCATATGTTACCAAAACATGTATATATCATTTAGCATTATGGTGCCTTCACAGATGTGCACGTCACCCATGCCATGTGCACTAATGCACCCCTATACCATCATGAATGCTGGCTTTTGAACTGTGCACTGACAGCAAGCTGAGTGGTCTTTAGCCCGGAGGACACAGTGTCCATAATTTCCAAAAAGAATTTACAATGTTAATTCAGCAGACCACACAACACTTTTCTACTTTGCCTCAGTCCATTTTAAATGAGCTCAGGCCCAGAGAAGGTGGCAGCATTTCTGGATCCTGTTTATATATGGTTTCTTCTTTGTGTTTTAGAGTTTTAACTTGCATTTGTGGATGCAGCGATGAACTGTTTTCAGACACTGGTGTTCAGAAGTGTTCCTGAGCCCATGCAGTGATTTCCACTAGAGAATCATGTCTATTTTTAATGCAGAGCCACCTGAGGGCCCAAAGATCATGGCCAGCAAACACTGGTTTTTGGCCTTCTCTCTTGCATACAGTGATTTCTCCAGATTCTCTGAATCTTTTAACGTTATTATGTATCGTAGATGATGAAAAAGTAAAAGTTCTTTGCTATTTTACATTGATAAACGTTATTCTTGAATTGTTGCACTATTTGCTTGTGCAGCCTTTCTCAGAGTGGTGAACACCTCCCCATTGTTACTTCTGAAAGACTTTTTATACCCAATCATGTTACTGACCTGTTGCCAATCAACCACGAGGTGTTTTTTTTAGCATTACACAACTTTACCAGCCTTTCGTTGCCCCTGTCCCAACTTTTTTGGAATGTGTTGTTGGCATCAAATTCAAAATGGGCATATAATTTTCAAAAAACTCTAAAATTTCTCAGTTTCAACATTTGATATGTTGTCTTTGTCTTTGTGATTTGCACATCATTGCATTTTGTTTTTATTTACATTTTGCACAGCGTCCCAACTTTTTTTTGGAAATGGGGTTGTAAGAATAGGGCCCATATCCTCCATTATTCTTTCATCCATCCATCATCTAAACCGCTTATCCTTCCGGGTCGCGGTGGGGTGCTGGAGCCTATCCCAGCTGTCATCGGGCGGAAGGCAGGATACACCCTGGACAGGTCGCCAGCCCATCGCAGGGCAGACAAACAGACATATACATCCACACACTCACTCACACCTAGGGGCAATTTAGCATGTCCAATTGGCCTGACTGCATGTTTTTGGACTGTGGGAGGAAACCCACGCAGACACGGGGAGAACAGGCAAACTCCACACAGAAACGACCCTGGTCACCCAGCCGGGAATCGAACCCAGGCCCTTCTTGCTGTGAGGTGACAGCCCTACCCACTGCGCCACCGTGCCGCCCCCATTGTTCTTCAAATTCTTTCAATTTTTTATATGAAGTATGTTCATAATGTTGGTATGGTTATATACAAAAGCAGTCAGAATATATATATATATATATATATATATATATATATATATATATATATATATATATATATATATTCATTTTCCAACCTCTCACTTACCATTTAAACAGGCTGTTTTTATGCCTTTAAGACTGAGGGCTGTTCTGATTGGCAGCCCTGTATTGCACCTCATTCAGAAAGCAGCCCAGGCTGAAACACTCCTTATAGCTTCAGCATGAATGGGTGGAGCTGAGCTCCTGTAGGCTGAATAGTAAATGAGTTTGTGTGACATCACAAAAACAGTGGATTCAAAACAGGCTCTTAGTTTTCCATACATGGACTTTATGGATTGGGAAGTGAAGGGTACACTCTTAAAAAGATGGTTCTTCAAGCGTTCTTTAGTAAAAGGAATTGTTCTGTTTAGAATCATGAGTTCTATATAGAGCCATTTCATGCTTAAATGGAACTTTGCATGGTGAAATGTTTCTTCAGATTGATGGAGCATGTGTTGTATTTGTGATTTTATTTGACACCAGAAAGGGTTCTGCTATTGTTGTTGTCAAACTTGTAACAATAGAAGACCCATTTTTGGTGCTATATAGCACCATTTTCAAAAAGGTTCTATGTAGAACCAGATATAACATATTCTCCATCAATCTGACGACCCATTTCACCATGCAAAGAATCTTTTAAGAATTAAACGATTCTATTTAGAACTCATGGTTCTATTTAGAACCATTTGCCTTTACTCAAGAATGCTTTAAGAACCATCTTTTTTAAGAGTGCATGTTTTGAGACTTTTACAGTGTTTCCAAACTACATAATTAAATAAACTGTTTATTTTAAAAAAGAAATGACAGAAATTCTGTTTTTCTTGTAATCAGATTTCTGGATTTATCCTTGATTTTAACCCTTTTGTTGCTGTTTTTCCTGTGCATGGTTAAATATACAATTCCACCGTAAGTTCTATGATTCATCTGCCATGTTTCTAAGTATGTGTTCATTCTCAGAGCATATTCATACGGCTTCAAGCTTGAACAGTTCTGAGGCCCAAGCGTAAGATGCTGGCCTGAAGTGCAGTGAGACAGATGAAATGTGGGAGAAGGCCTAGCTTTCCCTGACAATAGCAGAGGATTATTGGGCGTGAGGTGGTGGGGCTTTGGTTGTTTTTCTAAGAGAGGCAGAACGGTTGCATCAGCAGAATTCCAGTGTGACTAAATGCAGCACTGCTAAATGGCTCTCCACTGTTTATCGAAGATCTTAGTGGACGTGGCACTGCAAAATGATGTAACCCTGTGATCTTGAATGCTTGGAGATGAATATTGAAAGATGTATGAGAGACGAGACATGTACATTTAAATGTCAATGTTTATTTATGCACAGTTAGATGAATGTATACACAGTATACAAAGGAAACGTAATAAAATATAAGTGCCTCTTGCTGCATGAACATCAAAAGATGCAGATCCTCAAAACCGCTTTCAGAACAGAGACTCCAACAGCAATAACAGATGTATAGGTATTGTCTAAACTAGACGTATACAGCAGGGAGTAGATCTGTGAGGAGGAATGTGATGATTTAGCATGGGGGTCATTATATTTGCAGCTACTGCGTCCTTTCAGATGGGGTCATATAATCCAATAAAATGAAAAATACACTATTCAGCATATTTTTGATGATAAATTCTCTATGTTTACAAATTGCAAGCAAACTAGATTCATGTTTAATCATTTGAATTAAACATGCAATATAGAAACAGGAGGGAAAAAAATGCTCACTTGGCATTGAAAACATTGAAGAATACTTCGAAAAATTGAAAGAACCACTAATATCTACTTTTAGCCTGTTTTACTTGTTCATTTGTTCAGTTTTAGGCTTGGTTGCACACTAAAGCATAAAGACGGAACATTTTTTCCAAGGCATCTGAACATGCAATACAGACTTATGTTACTTCCACAACCTTTGGTGGAAGTTTCAATATGGATATTTCAGACTTTTCTGGGGTAAATACCTTTTTGGCCATCTACTCGGTTAAACATAATTCAGCTAAGTGTTTGTCTCGAGCACTAACCTGAAAGGAGCCACTGAGGATTACAAGCATTACAAGCATATCAGTAATTGTGAATCTTCAGTCTACAGGCATACTGTTAATTGACCAAGCCAGTACAATTGTTTCTACTAACAACAGTTCAACGTACAGCTTTTCAAAAACAAGTCTGAAATGCTCAGTCAATTAGATTTTGTAGCACCAGGTGTTTTGAAGTTCCAGTAAACCTAAATATAACCACAAACACTTAGTGTTGTATTTACACCGATTTTAATGCTTCCAAAAGATGGATAACTGTGTATGAAACCGTTATACTTAAACGGGTATTACTAAATATCATTGTGTATAACTGAAGTTACCGGCAATACTTTACTTGAACCCTGCTATATAACATTGACATAACCATGCTGTAAACATGTCATGGAAGATGAGAAGAGGCTTTGAGAGCAAGGAAACATACGCAGAAGCCTTTTTGTATCACAATATGTGACACAAGTGTATGTTATTTCTCCTCCACAATTTCTCCACCCCCACCTCATGTAGTCAAATTGTTGATGTGGCTGAATTTTAATAAAGCATTCCCATGTGAAAAGACAGTTCATAATAGATCATTTGGTTGGTATAGTGTAGTGGGTAACACCTCTGCCTTCTATGCTGTTCAATACCCCATCTGGGCCAGCACCCTACACTATACCAATAAGACAAGGCTTGGGCAAGACTTCTAACACTACCTTCGCCTACCTGTGTAAAATTATCAAATTATAAGTCGCTCTGGATAAGAGTGTCTGCCAAAAATGTACATTTGACAAACACATTAGACAGATATAGCAGACCATGAGATGGCTGTAATATAATATCATGTCCCAATTAACCAGTTTATTATCAGCGTCAATGTATGTTTTGAACCTGTGGGCTCACTGGGTTCTGCCGAAGTCCTTACATTATAAAGGAGGAGACAGTTCACAGGTTGTAAAATGAACAAGAAAGCTTGTAACATGGGATCTGTTTATGGGGAACGTTCTGCCCTTCAATTAAAAAAGCCAAATGACATGCTGGTAAAGCCACAAGCGAGGGAAAAGCCCTTTGTTGTTGTAGATACATGCACATTCGCAACATGTGATTTTTCTCCAGTTTCCCACTGATTTCAAATATATGTTTGAAATGTTAACGTGGCTTTCAATTTTGACTTTATTTCTCCCCATTCAAAGAGATTGTTAGCCAACATGTGTGAACAACATAATCTTAGCAGAAAAAATATAGAAACTGACATATAGGCAATTTCACATAGCGTGGAACATAAACTGTAATTGTCCTAAACTCTTACAGAAGTGTTAAAAAGTGGTGAGGGCATCACCCCAGTACCTTAAAAGTTGGGGGTTCAACTGTGGTCCTGGCAGCCATGGTGATATCACTGAACAAAATCTGTCACGACAGCATATGACATCTCCCATGATATGTTTATGTCATGGTTATGTACTTGGGTTCAAGTAAAGTAAAACCAAGTTACCTTAGAAAACCCCTTGTAGTGCAAGAGCCATGCATCCCTATTTTGTATACCCTTTTCTTCACATTTAACTTATGGTACTGATGTGGATTCAGATAATTTACTACAAATCAAAAGCCTTCATTTATTCTTCTAACAGCAATATTGTGATGTGTGAAATAAGGATGCCTTTGCCTTTGTGTTTTTCACTTGGGAGGACATTTTTACTGTGTTCTGCGTTCTGACTCTTTGTTGTTGATGTTGTACTGTAGTTCAGTGTCTTTTTCGAGGTAGGCTGTGTGTGACTCATCACATAAATGATACCAAAGTTTGTAATGTGCCTTTTTTAATCACGTCCACCTCCAGTCTCAGCTGTCGCTTTGCTCCTGTTGCAAAGGTGAGGCACCATGAGACACCAAAGTAGAAACAATGGAAACTAAATAAAGAACAAGTTTCTTTCAGCTGGAAAATAGTTGTCCTACAGAATGTCTACAGCTTAACGTCTGAAAGAGTCATAACAAGTCTTAGCAAGACTCTAGCAGGTTTGAACAGAGCAGAAATCTAGTTCCTGGGGCTTCCTCTTGCCAGAGCAATGGTCTCTGGGTAGAAGTAATCCTGATAAAGTGATGCAGCGTAGAGGCCTTCTCTTGAAGCCTTTCCCGCAGCTTTTTGAACAAGCAGACCACTCTCCGGTGCTCCACATGGGGCAAGGGTCACCACACACCCTGATGGTACTAGGCCTTTGAGTGCTGTCACAATATGTGGCTGCTTTACCATTAGAGTCCAGACACTGGACAAGTCTTTTCTGAAAGCCATTCCCACAGCTCACAGAACACACCTCCCAGTCACCGTACACCCACTTACTTGAGGGCTTCTGATAGGCTGGCTTCTTCAGCTCCACCTTATTGGTGTCCTCCAGAATGCTGTTCTGGGCATGGTTCCTTTCCTCCTTCTTCAAGATCTTCTCCTCTTTGCTATCCTTGGTCAGGTAGTAGGAGTAGCGCACACGAGGAGGTGTCATTTTGCCCACAGACAGAACCTCCACTGTCAGGGACTCCCGAAGAGGTCTGGTGAGATGCAGCGTCTCCACAGCTGAGGAGGTTCCACTGTAGCGCAGCAGGCTGCCTTTCACAATGATGTCCCTCTCCACAGCAGACACCACATAGTTCCCATTGAGGAGATACTTGCCATGGATGTCCTTGACAGCTAAGTAGTTGTCATCATTGACCAAACCACGGTAGCCACGCTGTCTGATGTCCACGTTTGATGCTCCGACAGGCAGGGTGACCACAAAGTTATATCCATGTCTGAAAAACAACAAAAAATTTAGTCATTGGTTTATTTTGAACTCAGTTCACACTTATCTGGTGAGAAGGTTATAGAATGTTTTTTAAGTTTAGTCAGTGTGAACTGCAGAATGTTGCATGTTGGCAGTTGTTTTAGAGTTATAGAAAGTTGAACATACATCATTCCTTCATTTGACCAATTAACAGACGTCAAATTTACACTGGATTTTGGTATGAGGAAAGAGAGAAGCTTATTCTCCTATTTTGCAGTGTATAGACTGTGCAAGATCCAGGGACCACCCTTAATTCATTTAATTTGAAATAAAAAAACAGCCATTGGGTTCTAGTAATCTCCACTGACTCGTCCCACCCCGCACACCACCCGTTCCAGCTCCTTCCCTTAGGCCGGCACTTCAGCCACATGAGGATCAGGGCATCCAGGCTACAAAGGAGCTTCTTCCCACAAGCCATCACTCTCTTGAACAGTTAAAATATTACACATTAAAATATTCCAGCTCCTAAACTGCACTTCTAAAATACTGGTATATAGTATCAAACTCAACTCCATCCTCTGAAACTACCATCTCAGACCAGTGTTTATTCTAGCATCTTACTTACCTGCCTTATTACCCCACTTATCTGACTGTCACCTCATTGATCCCTTTGAATGAATTAGCTCCTCATGGGCTGGGTTTAGTGTATTAGAGTAGGGAAAACACAAAATTGTGCAGAGCATGGGATAGCTAGGACTAGGATTGGGAATCACTGATTTAAGAAATGGGAAAGTCAAAAAAATAAGTGAAAAAACAGAAAATTATGAAAATATATAGAGAAGATGAGGCTAGAGGAGAAAATTAAGCTGATCTGAAAACAAATCCACAGGAGTTTCTGTCCATCTTTCCACTGTGAGAAGACAACTCAACACTATGAGTCTGAAAGGATGTGTAGCTGTCAAGAAACCATTATTGACTGTTGGTGTTCTCAGAACAATGGACTGAGCACCCCACAGTCCAGACCTCATCATCACTGAATGTGTTTGGGATTACTTGAATTGTAAGAAGAAAAAAAAATGCAACCAACTTCTAAGACTGAACTTTGCAGGTATGGAAAAATATCCTTGCAGATTTCTTTGAAAATAATGGAAGCTGTAATAAAGGTAAAGCGTGGACACACTAAATACTGAACACACTGATATTTAATTGTTGAGGTTTCTGTGCAATTTTCTGTTGATGTTCATGTATGTTTTCTGCTTTTTTCTGATGCGGAAAAATATATAACTGGAAATTTGGAAAAATAAGAGTTTAATTCCAAAATGCTGTATATCAGTTTATAACTATTTTATAACCAACAGGCTTTTGCAAAGAATAACATAACATATAATGGAAACACAGTTTTATTTCTCTAATAAAGGTGGTATTAATCGTAATATAGCATTGATATTTCTTATACATGTAAAGCCGACTCCCAACAACTTCTATTATAATAAAAAAAATACATTTTTGAAAGTGGTCTAAACTGTGTTTTGCAATGCAACCCTTTAAATGAATGGTGGTCTCTGAATTTTGCACAGTACTGTATGTACAAGTGGCAACAGCTTGACTAATTGATTAAAGTCTAAAGCAATGATATTGGAAATAATAATTATATTAATAGTCATAACAATAAGAATGTAAATGCAGAGAAAGGCATTTGCAACTTTCATTTTCAGCTCTTCACAAAGGTTATAAGAGGCACCCTGACTGTCCCACCGCTGAACCCAATGCTGACAAAGTGACCAAATAGCAGTGCCAGCAGTGTCTAATCCACAATCAAACATTTGATGACAATGATTGATTGAAAGGATGAAAACCAAACCTCTGGAAACCTTGGATTACTGAGTGACTTTGAAGTTTCAGAACCTTTCATGGTAAACCATCACTCACTCTTTAAGTGTTCACAAAGCACAGAGACCTTAGAATGGAACTCACATGGGTTTGGTGAAGACTCCAGAGACCTTTTTGCAGTTCTGGTTGTCCCCTCCACACACTCCACACTTGTCAAACTTCAAGCTGGAGCTCAGCTTGCCATCACAGCCTGCCTTGATACACTTCCCTTGAACGCAGACCGCTGAGGTGTCAGGAGAACAGAGTGTTCCATCCACGACCTGTTTATGAAGATAAAACACTTGTGTCACTGCACTCTGCTTTCAACTCAAATGCCTAATGGATCACGAAGACCACCTATTGCACATCAGTCACATACAGAGCAAAGGTGCTAAATTATACAAAGCTTTCTGAATGTAGAAGCTTGAACATACCATACCAAGTACTCAACCAAAATGTAGTGCAAATGCAGTATCAAAGCAGTGCAGGGAAAGATGTTCAGCCTGTAATTGGTTTATTCTGAGGTGGCTCTGTAAACACTCAGGACTGATACTATACAGCTGTATATGATCTCCTCTCCCACTTCAGTCCTGACATAACAAGCAACCCTGCTTCCTCTCACTCTACACATCCATATCTGAGAGAGATAAGCTCTAACCATTACTCTTCAGAGTCACTCATTTCCTCTACAGCATGGATGTTATTCATGTTATTCTGAACAGAAAATGCAGAGATAGTTGTTTTCCACACCTTTGGGGCAAGAACGTAGAAATATCCCGTGCCATTGGCTCTGCAGATGAGCTTGCATCTGTCTTTTGGGGAAACTCCGGAGTATTTAGGGATCCAAACCACAGAGGAGCCCAGCCTGTTGGTGTTGAGGCTGAAACCATTGAAGGCCTCGCACTGCTCCTCCCGAAAGCTTTTTCCTGCAAACAGCAGTACAACATCAGTACACAGCAATAACAAGAAATATCAACATTTTGCCAGGGGTATCCAATTGGCAGAGCATAAAGTTATGATTGACACTCTCAGCCAATCACAAACATCCCTAAAAAAACTCCTCAGAACAAACCTGCGGTAATAATGGCGGTGGTAGTAAGTTAGTGTGAATTATCGGGCTAAGAAACAATGGAAAGGTACTGCAGAGGAACATTTGCCATCATTTGTATTGTTTCACAAGTTCTAGATTGTTTCATGAGCTCTAGTGTTAGCTTTAGCATTAGCTCATCTAAAAAGGCAGCATTTTTGGATCATTTTTACATCAGTGTCCCCTTATTAGACATGAAAACCTACCACTTTAAAGCTGCATGACGAAAAGGGCACCCTGGTTTGATTAAAAGGGAACTCCACTGATTTTTTACAAAAATCTGCATAATTAAGCCATTAATATACAAAAAAAATCCATTCCGATTGGTTTGATGTGAAAAGCTTTGTTCTCATGTGATGATAGGAACCCGATTTAACCAAGGTGTAGCCAAAGGGTGGCCAGGGGTGGCCAGAGACCCCAGATATGGAAACTGAGACTGTCAGCCATCATCAGTAAAGCAGTCACTAGAAAAAAAGGGTCATAGTTATCAGGGTCATTACCAATCTGTTCTAAGACTCAGATAAGTCTGCATTTATTAATTAGCATAACTTGCTGTGATAGGCTAATTATGCTGAGTAAGCAGGTGAGTGAATGTAAGCTACATTATGAAGTAGACTACAAAATAGTAAGATTTGCAAAAAACAGTTAGCTATAATCGTTTATCATGCTAACTAATTACTTTTTACAGCTAAATATCTACAAGTTGTTGGCTAGATTCCATCTGTGGAATAAGTTTATGCCAAAGCTAGGTCAGGTTTTTCTCCCATTACGTTCCCTTATACAGTGCTATCTGGCTAGCTTTCTAATATTTAGACTCATGTATAACCTAAAAACCTGTGGCGAGGGCAGCCTAAATGAATAACTGTGGCCTGAGTACGTGATTTTTTTCTTAAAGTTAACATGTTGCGGTGGTGCGTTAATTAACTTGATTCAAAATTCCACAATTTTCTCCTGAATTAATAAAATACCGTTTCATCATTGAGTTTACTTTTGGGCAATAATTGTGCTGATGTAATATTTTATTCATGTGGAAATGATGGACAGATTTAGTTATGTTCAGGGAAACACTTTCATCACTGTTTATGTACTTTGAACGTGCACCCCAATAATATTTCTGGGTCTAACCTGGCCACCCTATTCTGAAAGTTTTATGACTTTAATGACTCTAAAAGCTCCTCACAGAAAGTTATTAAATGAAATTGAATATGAATATGAATATGAATATACTGCCTGATGCCTGAGACATTGCTTTTTGAGATAAAATTTTTGCCTAAAATGTTTTTTTTTATTATTTATTTATTCATAAGAGAGAGGGGCATGTAGTGTGTTGTACCATTACTAACATTACATATAAAACTCTGAAGACACATGTAGGTTCACTAGTGATTTTGGATAGTAAATAAAAAGGCTGTATTTGTGTTGTAAACATTGTGACCCCTGGTTCCTAAATTTTTATATGATGCACCATTTCACATTAAACAGCTCTAGATTACTCTAATTACATCTTAATGACTGAATTATTCAGAAATTTAAAACAATCAGTGGAATTTCCCTTTAATGTAAATGTTTTTCAGAATTCTTTTTGTATGTTATATTGACCTGCATTCATATTGCTAATACTCAAATATTTGTCTACACTGAACAGCTAAGGGAGTAACTAAGGGAGACAAGACTTGTCCGATTTTCATTCTAATTAACCTACACACAAAATTCAGTTCTAAAGAAAAATGAAATAAACCCAAAGGTCCACTATACCACCTGGGCAAATACAAAGGCATTGAAAGGGAACCACTGTCACCATTTACTTATGTTAGTTTGTTTATCTGGACTTTTGTTAGCAAGAAATTTGATGTAACAGGACCTTCATAAGTTTTAGTTTAGAGCTAAGGCCAAGAGCTGGACACTCCTGACATACGCAAATCATTGCCTTGAAAAACATTGTTCATTTGAAAATGGAGATGGTTTACCTGAATCTTTGCATGGCTCCAGATTGCAGGAGCGATGCTTCACACGCAAGCCTTGACAGTATTTGCCCCCATTTTCTGGAAGAGGGTTGTTGCAGTCTCTTTTGGCCAGCTGAACTCCTCCCCCACAGGTCCGAGAGCAAGATCCATATGCCCCCCACTTACCCCAGTGGCCATCTACCTGTGGAAAAATCCCATGTTCAGAGGCAGCACATACTGCATGTCCTAAAATAAGGAACTTAGAAAATTTCCATACTGGCAAATTAAGCTTCTCTGTATGACTGTAATTCAGAAGGACAGTGGTTCTCAATCCAAGGTCTGGATTACCTCTGCCCTACATAGTTTAGTATCTCCCTGCTGTAACACACCCAGTTCAACACAGTTAAGGCCTGTCAATGAGCTGATGCGTTGAATCAGATGTTTTGGAGCAGGGGTATTCGAGGACTAGGGTGAAAAACACGGCAATGTTGCATGGACCATGAAACAGAGGAGGGGGCCCTATGTTTTTTGGGCCCAGGAACTTTTCCTAATATATCACTTTATAAAATGTGGGACTGTATACAGTGCATTCAAAAATATTCAACCACATTTGTTTTTTCCTTATTTTCTTGTGTTTTACAGCCTTAAAATTGATTCAAATCTACAAAAAACACTCTTATAATAAAGCATGAACAGGTTTTGTCAACATTTTGTAAATGTGTTAAAATGTATCAAAAATGTGAAAAAAATGAAATCAGATATACCCACATATTTAAAGCCTTCACTCAGTACTTTGTCGTAGCCCCCTTAGCAGCCATTACACCCTGAAATCTTCTTGGGTATGATATTATAGGTTTGGCACACCCGAATCTGGGGTTCTTCTTTTATTCCTTCCTGCAGAACCTCTCAAGCTCTGTCATGTGGTATGAGGAGTGTTGCTGCATTCAGGTTTCTCCAGCGATGTTTAATTAGGTTTAAGTTCAGGCTCTGGCTTGGCAACTCAAGTACATTCACAGAGCTGCCCTTTAGCCATTCTTGCATTGTGTGCTGTGTGCTTCAAGTCATTGTCATGTTGGAAGGTGCACTTTCACCCCAATCTAAGGTCCTGAGTGCTCTTGAGCAGGTTCTCTTCAAGGATTTCTCTGTACTTTGATCCTTTCATCTTTTCCTCAATCCTGACAAGTCTCCCAGTCTCTGCTACTGAAAAACATGCTAATAGCATGATGCTGCCACCACCGTGCTTCACAGAAGGGATGGAATGGGCTAAGTGTTGCCTGGTTCCCTCCAGATGCAATGCAGTTTAATTCTGAGTGAAATTTTAGTTTCATCAGACCATAGAATCTTGTTTCTCATGGCCTGAGAGTCTTTTACTTGCAGTGCATCTTTTACTGAGAAGTAGCTTTCATCTGGCTATTCTACCATTAAGCCCTGATTGGTGGAATGCTACAGAGATGGTGGTCCTTTTTGCAGGTTCTCCCTTTTCCACACAGGACATTTGGAGATTCATCAGAGTGACATTTGGGTTTATGGTCATCTCCATGACTAAAGCATTTGCTCAGTTTGATGGGGTGGCTCGAAGATTTTAAGTGGTTCAGAACTTCATGTCAAACCAACTTAATGTATCACAAGTGAACTTTAAGCAAGTTGTAGAAACATCTCAAGGGTGATCAAAGGAAACAGGATGCACTCAGGCTCAATTTTGAGTATCACAGGGATATGAATGCTGTAACTGCAATTTTTATTTTTGATAAACTTACAGAACCTTGAGAAAGCCTGCTTATGCTTTTCATGCTTGTGCATTTTTATAGACTGATGGGAAACAATTACTTGAACCCATTTTCATAGTAAAGCTGGACACCTCTGGAAAGCACTGTATTTTTGGGTATGAATTTATTGTCCTACCCATTCTGTTGCATGAAAAAAAGAAACTTAACTTATAGGCTTATTGATTTTTACCTGTATTACAATCAATGCAATAATAAACTTTACTTGACCTCTGCTTTTTAATGATTGGTTTAATTCATCCCTATTTTGAGTGTAACCAATCAAGCTGTTCTCTGCAAACAGACAGACGTTATAGGATTCTGGGATGCAGATTAAACTAACTGTGTCTACAGTGAATAACATGCTATAACACAAAAGAAAGAATGCCTGGCTCCACCTAAAGTACGTTTCATGGTCCATGAAATATTAGTCTTGGATCTTAAGGGGGGTTTCCCATAATGTCTCTATCTGATGTAGGATGAAAGATTACAGCCATTTATTTCAAAGATGAAAGCCAAGAAGACTCAAGTGCATATTTGAATGAAATGGGATCACCAGCAAGGCCATAATAGCATTTTGAGTGCTCTCACCTTGGCTTTTGTAGTGTTGCTCTTCTCTATGCATGACCCTCTGTAACATATCTTGTTGTTGCCACAGTTGGTGCCATCAGCCCAGGGGAAGTGGCGAGTCTGGCACACCAGCTGCCCCCTGGCCTGTCCCGTGCACCACAGCTTGGAACAGGCTTGCATGTAAGGGCAGGGCTTGGATCCGGAGCCAAAGGCCAGCTCACACTGACGGCTAAGACTGTAACTGAGTCCTGGAGGGTCCTCAGGTAGAGCAAGCAGCTTCTGCGGCAGGTCCAGTAGACAATCACCTTATGGAGAAACACCAGCAGCTGTTGTAAATATGCTTGCTCGTATGCCACAATGGTGAATGAAATCATCATTTCAATAGTGAGAATGAATTACCCAAACTACAAAAATGACTCATCAGATGAGAAAGGCAACAAGCTAAATGCTATCAGTTTGGTGCTAAATAACGATAGAATTGTTCATTTCTTTTCATTTGTGTTTGATGACTTGGATCAAACTTTATTAAAGTTCATTTAATACCACCTTTGTTGTATTTATTAGCCTATAGATCAGCAACTATGATAGCAATGAAGATTGGTTGACACCACAGGAATGCCCAATGGTTGTATGATGTATTTGCATAATGCCTGCTGGGTATCATAGTGAGTGAACACTGATAAATGAAATACACAAAAACAATAAAATCATGAATTTGTGGCATTCATGAGTAACTGTGGTAAAATCACTGGAATGTGCAGTTCTCCAATGGCTAAAGAATTTTAGAAAACTGCAACAAACTACAATATGATAAATGTCATGCAAATGTTCTATAAATAATTAAATCTAACTTGATTGCTGAGTAGGATAATGTTTTTATAACTGCTCATGTTAATGACATAGTTCACTGGATCTCTGTGCATTTTTTATGTAGTAGTATGTATTTAATGTATTTTTTGTATTTTACAGCAGCTTTGAATGTGGCTCAGCCGGTCAGATCTTACAACCAGAACTATCAGTTATACACCAAACATGTTCAGCATCTGAAGTTAGAATTTTCCACTTCCACTGATGGCAGTAGACTGTATCTTTTAAGTGTCTGCCATAAAAATATTCAAAGCAATAACTACACCTCATCCGCTAGCAACACTGATAATTATTTATTGCATTAAGCTGGTCTGTTTTCTAGTGAAGCACTTAAAAATAGCTTTGTTATGTATACAGTTGTAACCATGCAAAACTCAGGCCTGTCCTGATGGCCTCCGCTCTTAGTAACCATGAAGGTGATGCCAGACTACATTGTGTGGTCTCTCTTGTTTTAGTGAGAGAGTAGGCGGAGTGTTATGACAGCTGGCATGTTATCAAAGGCAAAGATACTGTATGGCAGGTTTAATGGAGGCAGGTTGTCTGGACTAACCGTGGCCACTGTCCAGGAAGTCAGTGACGATGGCGGCACTGCAGACAGACCAGGGACTGTTGCGGTCAATCTGGATGAGGGTGGGGGACATCATGTGGTTGTCCTTCAGTTTCCCAAACACCTCCTCACAGGCCTTCACATTGTCATGAGGCATGTTGAGGACATGACCTGGACAAGACATAAAACACGACTTGAAATATTGTTTTTATACTGTTTAAATGTTAATATGTATTTTGTATGTAAGCGTTTGGTCAAATTACAAGTTGTGCTGATTTTCTAAGTGAAAGAAGTTAGCACATCCTCAACAAAGAACATACATTTGCACATTTTAATTCACAATTACTGTGTATTTCCTAAATTTAACATACTATGAATAAAATAAAACATATATTGTAGCCTGTGCAAAAATAATGACACATTTGATATTTTTTCCAATATGTTAAACTCAGCAAATAAACAGAAATTGTGCACTGAAATTTACAGAAAAATGTCATATTTATGTTCCCTGCAAAGGATGTGTTTACTTATTTTCACTGAGATCAACATGTCATTTGACCAGATGTGTTCAAACTTTTTCATACGACTGTAGCATGTAGGTAGTGTGGCATTTACATTCATAAGCAGCACAAAAATCAATGTTCTATATACGTCTGTTAGCATGTGGTAGTACTTTCCCATCTGTTTCTGTTTAGAATTCTGCTTCCACAGTGATTAAGAAATGATCTAAAACACTTGATAGCTTGATAGCAGCTGTCATCGTTTTAGTCATTAATAACAAGTCCATGACAGCGCACGCTTTTGTAGGAGTTGAGACTCGGTTTGAGTGACAATCATCTTACAGGATCAAAGCAGCGAGAGAAAGAGTTCAAGAATGAGGACAGGACTGATTCAAAAGGACCACCAACCTGACAGACTGTAATTTATCTGCACCACATTTAAGACCTCTAAGAACTGAGGGGTTTAGTTAAGGTCAAAGCCTGACAACAGGGCCTGAGGGTTTATAACAGTGGATTATATAGATGCCACAATTTTACACAACTGTCACATGATATACTTTGGCAGTCAATATTATGATAACTAACGGCAAATGTTAATATTTATTGGCTCAGTATTGGAATTATAGTCGATAACTAAAACCGATGAACTGAGGCACGTGTAGCCACTAGAGGTGGACTGCTCTGTTCTTGCCAACTCACTGAAAAGGAGAGCGTAGTAGATTACATCACCACCTCACACAAAAGATTTGATTCCTCATCCAGGCAGGAATGCCACTGCTTTACCAGTGTTGTATTTATTAGCTTATAGATCAGTGGCTAGGTTAGCAGTCAGGATTAACTGACACCACAGGGATTCCCAATGAATGTATGATGGAAGGGGAAAGTCAATGGAGAATACATGAAAAAGAGGAGTTTTCAAAACTCAAAAACTGGCCAAAATCGTCGCCATATAAACAGTACTTAAAGCTTTGAGAGAGAGGAGAAAATCAAGCTCCACTCTTACTTCAGATCTGAAAAAACAAGGGGTGTTTCTGTCCATCCTTCCACTGTGAGAAGACACTATGAGTCTGAAAGGATGTGTAGCTGTTAAGGAGCTGTTACTGAAAAAAAAAATTGTCAAACAAAGAGGCAGCTGGTGTTCTCAGAACAATAGACTGGTCACCCCAGAGTCCAGACTTTATCAACATGGATCACGAAGCCAAAATGCAACCAACTTCTAACACTGAACTTTGGGAATGTAGGAGAATATTCATGCAGATTTCTTTGAAAAACTGAAAGCAAGACTTCTGAACAGGGTGGAAGCTGTAATACAGATGAAGAGTGGACAAACTTAACACAGATTTATTATTATTATTATTATTATTATTATTTATTAATTTTTCATGTTTCTGCTTTTTTCCTAATGCTGGAAACGGAATCACTTTACACTTTAATTTTTGTTTACAATAATTACAATAATGTCTGATTTAGCCATGTCAAGGACACGTAAAATGATCCATCTTTGGAGTTTTAACCTGTTTTACACTTCATAGATGAACTATAGTGTGAACCAAAATGCTAAAATGTAAAATGATTAAATGACTTATTGGGGTCAGGCTTTAAATTATGGACTAGAGTTATTGGTTCTGAAATTCTATATTCGTGCATATCGCAGAATTTTTATAACATTTCTGTCACCAGCAAGGAATTTTTATCTCAAACAAAAGGGCTCTTACAGGGTAGTAAGTCAGAAAGCTTACCTAGCTCATGTGCTGTGGTGAAGGCTGAGGGCAGGCCATCATCCTCGATGACTGAACAGCTTCTCTTAGGGTCACACATGGTCCCAACATCAGCCATGCCCAGAGTGTCACAGGTGGTAGCCCCACACAAATCCTAGCAGAATTAAAAAAAAACTGGTCAGGGTCTCTGAACAGTAGTCAAGTGTTAATGTTTTAAGCTGGGCTTTCACTATCGAGTGATCACTATGGAGCTATTTTTAATAATGACGATGATGATGGTAAGGGAGAAAAAAGGCAAAGAATAAAAATGCAACAAAAAACCATGCACAGCTTTTCAAAGATGCCAAAACACTTTAAAAAGATAAACAAGAACGACTTTCAAAAGGCTTGTAGAAAAATACTATGTAGCAAAAACTCATATAAATGGATCAGGCACTGTTTCTTACTGTAAGAATTACATCACAGCTTGTGTGAATCAGTGATACGATGGTCAGCATGCCTGGTATTGATCAGCATTTTGAGTCAGTGGGGAATTTTATTGTCTGGCCAAATAACGTGCAGGACAGCAATGACCAGCAAGGGTGGCCAAGAATGTCTATAAAGAGCTTTAGTTAAAACACAGATGGAAACATAGAGAGTAACCATCAGGGCCACCTGTTACTCCCATGAATACAGAACGGATAGTCTGAATGCATTTCAGTGGTCTCGTCCAGGAGAAACTGAAACGTATTCAAAGCTCTGTCTGATGCCAGCTGCACATTTTACAGTGTCAGTCATTCTGCACTGTCACACTGAACCTAACAGACACCAGACTAGGGTGGTTCAGGGTTAGAGGATGATGATATTGGTCTCCTGCAACTATATATTCGCTAAACATTATTTCTTTTCCCATAGACGTGCACTTTAGTGTATTACTAACATAAATCTGCTTGTAAAATTTAACGTTTTGGGCAATGCAAGCTTTTAATGATGTGCTTTCAGCTTAATTGCCAGTTTGTCAAAGGCTCCTCTTTAAACTCATTTGGCTAAAACTGGTCAGCTAGCAGTGCCCAGAATTAGAACCAAGCATGGTGACAGAGCATTTAGCTCTTATGCTGCCCAAAGCTGGAACTAGCTAGAAGATCTCAGATATGTCCCAGATTTGGCAATTTTGAAAAGACAATTCCATCAATATTTTCAAATTGTCTACAAAATTCACTCATAGAGATGTTTTGATGTGAATTGGTGATTTGTACACTCTTAAAAAAGATGGTTCTTGAAAGTTTCTTTAGTAAAGGAAAGGGTTGAAAGGGCATGAAAAGGTTCTATATAGAACTCATGGTTCTAAACATTCCTTTTGTTAAAGAACCCCTGAAGTACCATCTGTTTTAAGAGTGTATAGAAACTTGCCAACTCAGAATTCTTTACAGTGGTGTTGATAGGAACCAGGGCGACCCCTGTCTACAATGCAAATATAGCCATTTTATTTACTATCCAAAACCACCAGTGAATCTAAACGTGTCTTCTGAGGTTTTATATGTAATGCTGATAATGGTAAAACAAACAAAAATTCTTTGGGAACTTTTTTGCCTTACAACACCCTGTATGTACCTCTCCACCATGAATGATTTGAAAAAATACATTTTGAGCCAAAAGCCGAACTCAAAACTATAGTAACACAATGTCTCTGGCATCAAACAGCAAATTTTATATCTTTCTGAAGCTTTTGGGCGACTTAAACACTTTGGACGTCTGGTTCCTATCAGCACCACTATAAACAATTCGGTATGTGAACCATTTTTAATTAGGACTCCTTAAAATGGAGCATTTCACATCAAAACATGCTGAATTATTCATTTACATCTTAACAATTTTATTATGCAGACATTTGAAAGATTGGTGGAATTCCCCTTTAAGCCCAGACTAAAGACAGTTCTTTTTAATTATCTTGTTTATCATGCTGTTTTTTCTTTTATTAATGTAAAGAACTTTGTACTGCCTTCGTGTATGAAATGTGGTATATTTTGCTATGACTTGCCTTGCATAGGGCAGACTGTTTTGACAGTATCAGATGAACATCATATAAACCACACAGGTCAGCATATTTCATATATTTGAACCTCCTGCCCAAGACTACATTATTAACTAAGTGAATAGAAAGCCCCCCAGAAGAGCTTGGGCTTAAATGCCTTTCTTGAAGGTGTGACTCCATTAAATTGGACTTGAACCCTTGACCTCTTGATTCACAGCCAAGTTCTTCAACCATATTGCTACCAGAAGTTAAAGTGCCCTCACCCACCTGTGCCTTTGTAATAACCCACATTATGCTGCAGTACTTTGTGCAGTTGTTTTGTGGCTTTCAATGAAATCTGTAGGAAGGGCTGTTAAACTGCATGTAAGTTGTAGGTTCTAATACACATCTCAGATTATTTTACACTGTTATGTCTTTGTCCAGATGTTTGTGCAGTGACTCTAGCACACATCTGGCAGCATCCTCCTCTCTAATAAAACAGTTAACAGCCCGGAAGAGCTAGCCTCCTCCAGGCTGAGAGTGACGCTACCACCCCTTACCTGCTTAGTGAACAATATAGCAGTGTCCCAGTACTCGGGGTGTTTGTCGTTGACCTTGTTGAGCTTCTTCTGCCAGGTGCAGAAGTTCCTCAGTGTCAGAGCTGCATTGCTGGAGATCTTGGGCCCTTTTTCAGCCTCAGTGATCACCATGAACTTGACCACCACAATGTTGATGAAGTTCAGGATGCTGGGGTGCTTGTACAGCTTAGCAGCCACAGACATAAGAGTCAGAAGGTAATGCTTGAGGTCGTCCCCGTGGAACTTGGCCATGGAGTCGTCGGCGACGACCAAGACCTCAACATACCTGGGGAGAGATGCAAACCTTTTAGACCTGGTCATGCCTTTCAGCACAGTTTCCGTCAGATTTTTGGCCTTCAGGTGCTTGTATTTCTCCAGGGACTCCGCAATACCATGGTCAGGAGCAGATGCCACCCCACATCTGGACGTGGAGTTGTGGGGGTTGATGATGGCATGCCTTCTTCGTATGATGTGAGTCTTTTCTGCACTTGAGGGGAATCCTGGACCTGTGTGGTTCCCTCTGGGCTGGAACAGGTACTCCATCCCATTGTAGGAGAAGGCTCCCTGCACTCCTCCGCACAGGCTGAGGGCTGCATAGGAGGAAGAGTCTGAGTTCACCTCTCCCGAGTAGAAGCACCTTCTCAGCTCAGAGACTGAAGAAGCTGAGGATGACGGATGACTTTCATATGTGGCATCAGGTGCAAGAAAACTGGCGTCTGGCAAAACGTTTAGGTAAAATTCCTGTTTAAAAGCGCTTATTTTCACCACAACGCCAGGTTTTTTGGTCTCTTCGCGGTCAAGTTGCACAGGCTGACAGAAATCTATTTCCACACAGAGGGACAAGTGGATATAAAGCAGGATGTTGAAAAGAAAACATATAAGCCGGGCTAAAATGGACATTGTTGACCCTGCGGTGTTGTCCGTAAAAACAAGTCATTCACAAAAGACGTGCTGCCCGTCACTGCACTCCTTTATATCCCGGTAAAAGTCCAGCCGTGACCCATGATGTCTGAGCAGTGCAGACGGACTCTCCGCTCTCTCTCTCGGTCTTTTGCGTCACATGTAAACATCGCGGCTCTGAAGCGGAGTTCGCTGCTGGAGGCGCAGAGCGGCGCTGATTGGCCGCGCGCACGTTTTAGCCGCAGCCAATTAAAGCCCGCGCGCGCCTCACGAGCAGCGAGAGTCAGACTGATGAATGAGACCAAACAGAAACGGGCTGTCTTCAGCTGTCCGGTAACGACGACCACTGGAAACGCGTGTATATATCACCTCTCTCTCTCTCTCTCTCTCTCTCTCTCTCTCTCCTTTCTCTCTCTCCCTCTCTCTCTCTCTCTCTCTCTCTCTCTCTCTCTCTCTCTCCCCCCCTCTCTCTCTCCCTGTCTCTGAATATCCTTTCTCTTTTTCTTCTTTCTCGCTGTCTGTCTCTCCCTGTCTCTCCTTTCTTTCTCTTTTTGTCTTTCTCTCTTTCTCTGTGTCTCTTTCTTCCTGTCTGCCTTTCTCTCTCTTTCTCTCTTTCTGTCTTTTTCTCAGTCTTACTCTATCTTCATGTCTGTCTCTCCTTTCTTTCTCTCTCAGTCTCTCTTTCTCGCTCCCTACATGTCTCTCTTTTCTTTCTTTCTCTCTCTCTCTCTCTCTCTCTCTCTCTGTCTGTCTGAGGATAGTTTAGCAGCTGACGACATTTTGCTGGTTGTCACATGAAAACATGCTGTTTTTAACCCCAAAAAAGAGCAGAAAGGTCGCCTACTGATAGTGGCCTATGGTTTAATACAGAGGTCTATGGAGGTCCTCACAAATATAGCAACACCACCTATATCCTCACGAGACGAGAGAATTTTAAGGAGCTTTATATTTAAAAATACTTATTAAAAGCATTGAGGTTAAGACCAGCCTTTACTGAGGTAAAGAAGCCATAGCGTCACGGGGGCGGGGCACTGAAGTAATCTTACAAAGATAGAAATACAAACGCAAAACGCGCATAGCTACGGGAAATGCTATTTATTTATTTATTTATTATTTGTTTTTTTATTTGAAAATGCCAACTTTTAGTTAAAAGTTATTTTAAAGAAGTCAACACTGCAAAAGATTATTACCTGTTTGATGTCGGTTGGCTGGATCAGTTGTAGCTACAGCATAAATGAGCTCCAATATGAGAGTCAGTGGAAACACTCTGCAGAGATAGCAATATAAACTCGTTTGTTTGTGTGGGTTTGTGGTGTGTGTGTGTGTGTGTGTGTGTGTGTGTGTGCTTGTACCAGGTTTATGCCACATTATGGGGACCAAAACCTGTTCATAAACTCACGTTGTGGGGACCTTTCTTCCTTGTAGGGACCACTACTTAAATCGTTACATTTTAAGGTTAGAGTAAATTGAGGGTTAGTAGTATTTCTTAAGGTGTGGGTAAGTCTCCAGGAAATTAATGGAAATCTATGTAATGGCCCCACAGAAAAAAAGGAAACAAGACTGTGTGCGTGTGTGTGTGTGTGTGTGTGTGTGTTGGGGAGGGGGGGGGGTGACGTGGGATAAAGTGAATTTAACTCTCCGGAAACGTCGAGTAAACACAGCATTAATTCAGAGCTGCGCGTTGTCTCATGTCTGAAGCTCTAATTCATCTTACATTCTTCATTTATTACGAATCTACATAATGACTCGTTCATCTCAAAAGACTCGCACAGAGAGTGTCAGCAGAGCTCGGTCATTAAGGATGCCGTACTGAGCCGCTTCGCTTCGTGTATTCTCGTGTTTTGTCGCCCCCTGGTGTCTGACTTCACCAACATCAGCTTAAACAGGGCGATTGAACTATGAAGGAAAAGGTGCACATTTAACCAGTGATGTGGATCATTTTAATTAAACTGTTAATCAGTAAATAGCTGCGACCACCAGACAAAATGTATTTTAAATAAATAAATTAATAGGTTCAAACTTCTGAAATCGACTGACGTGCATCACTGTAGAGCCAATAACACAACACCATATCGCCACCCTGTGGAGATGAAAGCACATTACATAGTTTGCTCTGCTTGCCGAGCTCAAACCACCGCAATATTTTCCCCTATAGTGATCTTCAGAAAGTCATCGATCTCTTTTTTGCTAGTGAGTTTTCATACATTAGTTCTACCCATTTGACTCCCGTTAGCTGAGTGGACTGAACCCCAGAGTAGCTCTATTAAAGTTCCCTCTATCAGCTCCAGACACCTTCACATCATTTTCAGTTTGACTTTTCTGAGAGATTTCAGATGAAAGTACAGATGCATATACATAAGTTTATTTGCGAAGAAAGTATTCAGCGTTTTTCTCATTTCCATTCTGGTTGTTTACATTCAGTAATTCCCTTTTTATGGGCTTAATTTCATTCTCTTGCTGAAAGTGTCTTGGCAATTGTCTCTTACAATTCGACCAAATGAACCCTGCTGTTATCTTCAGACTTACCAACCTCTTTATCCTTTACTCCAGCAATTCAAACCTCCAGAAAATGATTATGATTAAAACTGTCACCCAGCCTTATGTGTTAGGTCAAACTAAGCTAAAAGAATAGGAGGGTTAACCAACTTCCTCCCGCTGACAGATGCTGGATGCATTGAGAGGTTCCACTGCTTTACTCGAGTGTTTGTGTCAGGCTACTTTTCCTTCTACATGAGTCCTCCACTGAGGGAGCTGCCTGAGTCCTCTGTGGACTGTACAGCTGTAGACTCCTCTACCCGCCTCTACGGCAGAGGAAAGGCTAATAAAGCTAATAAAAGCCCTTCTACACGTAAAACCATGTTCATTAATAGGGAAATACCCCCGGTTTCTATTGGACCAGCCTGATTCTGGGCGTTTTTGTCGTCAAATGCGAGTGGGAGGAGAGAACGGCGCAGCGCTGGATATCAAAAATAGTCTGAGAGTGATGTGTGAGAGGAGAGTGGAAGTATAAATAGCAGCGCCATGCAGTCCGCGGGCAGTAGGAGAGCGAGTATCCCAAGCTGGCTCACACAATAGCTTTAGCTGGTGGTCTGTGTGTGGACGAAGCTGCAGGCTGAAGGTTTCCTGATGAAGGCATGTGCTGCTGGATATTCAGTGTCTGTGTCAGTCAGTTAGCGCCCTTTCAGACCGAGGCTACACGACATAGCTGTACAGTGTAGCAGCATTTAGCAAAGCGCTGAATAAAAAGTGACTTTCCCCCCATTTTAAGTCTCAGTTTCGGATAAAATGCGCTCGTGGTTTGTGGCTGTGCTGCTGGTGGTCTGTGCGGTGGGGACGAGTCTCTCTCAGCGGTCTGACTCTGAGGAAACTCTACCTGTTCGGCTGAACGGCGGACGGGTGTCGAAGAGGAGTGAGGAGCATCCGCGGTTCAGGCTCACCGCCTTCGGCAGGAACTTTACACTGAATTTAAGCCCGGACAGCAGCTTCATATCGCCCACCATGAAGATCTACCGCATTAAAGCGAAGCACTCTTCTGAGCACAGTCGAGGGAGGGTGGCGAGGCAGGTGTCCATCACTGCACCCTTCACACATCCTCTCAGAGCCGTGAACACGACGAGGGAGAGCGGAGCGGACCTGAGAGGCTGCTTCTTCACAGGCACCGTGGAGTCCAGCGCGGACTCCGTGGTGGCCGTCAGCCTCTGTCACGGCATCCTGGGCTCGTTCATTACAGGAGGGGAAGAGTTTCAGATTGAGCCGAAACGCGTCGGCTCGGAGAGCTCCACTCAGCAGCTGCACGTCATCAGGAGGAGAAGGTTCACTGAGGAGCTTCTTGGAGCAAAGCCTTCATTTGGACCAGCAGAGGATGGACGTTACAGAGGACCATGTTCAGCTGGAGAAGACAGAGAGGGAGTAATCAGAGGGGGTGCAGAGGAGAGCCAGGAGACACTTGGAGATGGTACAGTTAGAGGGGGTACAGGGGAGAGCCAAGGTACATTTACAGATAGGACAGTTAGAGAGGGTGCAGAGGGCACAGAGGAGAGCCAAGAGACTTTTGGACATGGTACAGTTACGGGGGGTACAAAGGAGAGCCAAGAGACTTTTGGAGATAGTACAGTTAGAGAGAGTACAGAGGGCACAGAGGAGAGCCAAGCTACATATACAGATAGGACAATTAGTCAGGGCACAGAGAGTACAGATGATCCAGTAAGAGAGAGAACAGTTAGTACTGTGACCCCCAGGCACAGGCGCTTTGTGTCCGCGCCAAGATTTATTGAAACTCTGGTGGTCGCAGATGCCTCCATGTCCAGATTCCATGGAGAGGAGATAAAGGCAAGTCGTCTTTTTGCTATTAAAAAGACACAAATAGTCCAGTTTAACACATAAATTGCCTATAAGCAGCCCTACACTTACAGGTTCTCTGGTTCCAGTATGTTCTGTGGGTCCATTATGTCCAGATGATTCTAGCAGGCTGTTAAGACTATTAACTTTTTGTTTGTTATTTCGAAAGAGGGTTCCATCTGCTAGTCCAGTGTTCACACCCTAAAATTCACACCCAGAGATCTATTTTGTGAGACTTCTTCACTATTTTTCTTTGTTTCATCCAGCTTAAACACAGTGCTGACTTCGGTATTACTAAATCAAATAAGGAAAACATTTTGTCAGTGGGTTATTTATGCAAATCTGTTGAGTTTGATTAGGTTTGTGGTCAGATGTGGTTCCTTCAGTGACAAAACAGGTGTGCTATATCATCAAAGCCTATTTTTCCCTGATACATGTGTAATATGATTTGTAGCTTTCAGGGCATAAATTGCTGGAATAGACACTGAATTGGGTTCCACCATCTGGAGAGAAGAACAAGCATATAATTTTTGCAGTTAAACTCTCTGAATCGGCAGTGCCAGACCCCACATTGAGCATTTCCAACAATGTCAGATCTCTGTTAAAAACACCATTTATAACTGTGTTTGACCTCATGTGTCAGTGCCAGTTCCAGGTGAATTCACTGGCTGACATAGTGGTTCATGTTTAGAGGTGACTGTGAAATGAATGCAGCTTAGTCTGGATTGTGTAGTTTGTCTTTGAATAGTGGTCTTATAATTACATCAGAGAAGCAGCTAATACTGTTCTGTACAGTGGGACTTGGCAGAGTAGCACATTTTTTACAAGCTCAGCTGTCAAAGGGTAACATGTTTGATTTGCTTCCTTTAAACAGCACTACATCTTGACCTTGGTATCTGTGGCTGCTCAGATGTACAAGCATCCCAGCATTAAGAACTCTTTGAACATCGTGATAGTGAAGGTGTTGATTGTGGAAGATGAAGAGGTTGGACCATCCGTTTCCAGCAATGGGGGTCTGGCACTGCGCAATTTCTGCTCCTGGCAGCAGCTGTTCAATCCATCCAGCCAGAGGCATCCAGAGCATTTTGACACTGCTGTGCTCTTCACTAGAGAGGTAAGAGGCCAGAGCTGACCCTTCTGAATCCAAACAATGCTGTGTATATTGATAGTTTTGTCCAAAAATTAAAATAACACAATTTTGCCTTCCCTAAACATAAAATTGGACAAAAATATGGACAAAACTCTGTCTTCAGTATGGCAACTTCTACTCACTTTAGCATGCAATATACCTGTGACCAGTTTTATTAATAGCTGTATGTCATACAGTGTCAGAAACCACTTAAGCAGGTCTATTTGAGAGGCAATGTGGTGATTCATGCATGCAGTTTGCACAATGCTAAGCTGGTGACTATAAGATTTTACTGCTTGTTAGTATTTTGGCTCAGGTGCAAAAGTAAACCAGCCAAATTTAGGCACCAAACAAGTCTTTGCAGATGATTTAGGGAGGGGGAAATGGTGTAAATTGTTTGGCTGAGTCATCACTTTCAGCAGAAATGCTCTCTATGTAGACCTGCCTCTGTATTGGTCCTGTGAAAGGTGTACACATGAGTTTGATTCACTAGCCGTACCCAGCTCAGACATGATTCGAATCATGTGTGGCTTTGTCTTGCGGCATCTGAGGGCTGAGCAAGGGATGGAAAAGATTTAAGGCATGTTGTTCGGACCTATTTCAGATACCACACTGTTAAACGTTGTCACTTGATACGTCTGCTGTCTGCCAGAAGTATTTATTTGCTTGGCTTTATTGTGGAAACACTGAAAAAATGCTGCTGTCTCTTCACTATGAGGAGAGCGTAATGTGTTTAAAAGATTCTCTTCTTGCTCCTGCTGTCTGCCAGGATATCTGTGGCCATCAGAGCTGTGACACGCTGGGCGTTGCCGATGTGGGGACCATGTGTGACCCTAAAAGGAGCTGCTCCGTTATTGAAGACAACGGACTGCAGGCGGCCTTTACAGTAGCCCACGAACTGGGTGTGCATATCCACAATGCGTACTTGCAGATGAAATGTGTTTACATTTACTAAGTGATGCAGCGGTACATCAGCTGTCAGTGAATGCCAAACATGGAAAGTAACCAATTAGGATACAGCTACAGTCATTACAGTGGAAAAAACGAGACATTTTTCCCTGTAATGGAAATTTTGTGTGTAATTAAATCATAGTGGTTTTACTTTTATTTGAGTTCATTTTTAACATTAGTAAGTTCATTAATATTAGTAACTTCAGCCTTTGAATAACCATTAAAGTAACAAAAAAACTCAATTTTTCACAAATTGTTCACTAATCTTAGCTGAATAGCTACTGTGTCCTTTTATTATTTACTTTGTTGCCTAGAACTTTACAGCTTTTGATTAAACCTAAAGCTGTTGCATATGTTGTATTGAGTGCCTGTTAGCTTGTTCATTTAACTTACTTTGAAGGCTAACATATAGGTTAAGCTAATAATGCAAGGTAATCCATTAGCGTACATAGAAGGCTAATTTACATAGCTAACGATAATCTAATGGGTTAGCTTGAATTATTATCTTACTTTGAATATAAGCTTACATCTGCTATATTAGCTAGCTAATTAAGCTAATGTAAGGCACTTAAAGATAAGCTAATTCTTTTGCTACGCTACTCTGCTTTTAAGTTTTTTAACCTAAAGTTGTTGTTTATGTTCTATTATGAGTGCCTGTTAGCTAACTAATTTTGCTATAGCAATCATTAGTTTACCTTGAAGGCTAACGTAGCTAACGTTCAAGGTAAGCTAATGGGTTAGCTTAGGTAGTCAGTAAACTTGGTGAAATCTTTGGCATTGAATCTTCTTTCTGTATTATAAAATTAAAGCAACTCCAGTTACTTCAGTAATATTTTTATTTTATTAAGACTCATTTGTATTGAAGTGAATTACAGTATTATTACTTTTACATAAGTAGGCATTTTCAGGTCTCTTTCTGCTGTTGGTGAATGCACTAATGTAAATCTTCTTGTGTAGGCCATGTGCTGAGCATGCCTCATGATGACTCCAAGAACTGTGAGAGGCACTTTGGACATGTGGCTCAGCATCACATCATGGCTTCTGTATTCAACGGTTTCAGTAAAACATCTCCCTGGTCTCCATGCAGTGCTTTCTACATCACTGAGTTCTTTGACAGTGGTTATGGTATGTACCTGGTACGACTGTACATGGTATTCATAACTCTCTCTCTCTCTCTTTCTCTCTCTGCAGGCTTGCTGAGAAGTTTAGATTCTTAGTCCGATGCAGTCCCAACCTGTTGCTCTGGCTATTGCTTTACTGTACAAGAAAGTTTGCTGGAAAAGTCATTAAAATGAGGTCTACATGTAAAGGGAATTCCCTCCTTTCCTCCCTTTAGGAATATATTACTGTATCTGTGACACAGAAAGTAAAAATAACCATGCTATTGTAAGTCTATCAATAACTGGTGATTCATTGAGTTCCCTTCTTTTGAGTCACTCAGACATTATTACAGTTGTCCCATTCAAGAATATATGCCTCAGAAGTAATGGTGTAATATATTTCCCCCTTTAACTACTGTAGCATTTGTGGTGGGCTGTGGCCCATCTCCCCCACGTGGCTCTGGTGCTCATTTGGATTTCTTCTCTCCACTCACTCGCCCAGATGTGCATTCCTGCAGGTTTCCCTAAATGTCAGCCAGGGGGAGCCAAATGTTCCTACTGTTACACAATACTCGGCCTTCTAGATTTACTGCTCTCTCTCTTTCTCTCTTTTCTCTCTCTCTCTCTCTCTCTCTCTCTCTCTCTCTCTCTCTCTCTCTCTCGGCTTAATAACAGGAGATTGTCTACTGGATGCTCCTGAGAAGGCGATGCCCTTGCCCACTGAGTTGCCTGGTCTGACTTTTGGTCTGGACCGCCAGTGTCAGCAGATCTTTGGGGAGGGGTTCTCATATTGCCGCAACAGTTCAGCTGACGAGGTGTGCAGCCAGCTTTGGTGCCAACAGGAAGGCCAGTCTTTGTGCACCACCAGAAACGGAAGCCTACCCTGGGCAGATGGAACGGAGTGTGGCCCTAACAATTCCTGCCTGGACGGTGTGTGCACTGCTATTGAGGAGGTCATGAGACCAAAGGTAAAGCATGTTATGTAAGCATATACTTTATAATGCAAATTGAAATACGTACTGAAGTACCTTGATATACACAGTGTCTTGCAAAAGTATTTGCCCCCTTCCTGATTTTCTCTATTATTGCATATTTTAAATGTAACACATGACAAAGACAACTTTTTTAACACAAAACACATTTAAAATTTTTTTGTTTAATTTATTTAAGGAGCAGAGTCATTCAGCATGCTAATCACCCATGTGAAAAAGTAATTGCCCCTTTAGTTCCAACAAATTGACCATATTTCATTGTTAATGTGTTTGAACACAGCTAATGTAAACCTCACTCATACTGAAGTTGTAGTTGCCACAAACTAGGACATGATCGAAAGAAAATCCAGGAGAGATAAGGGAGGAAAAAGCTTTTCTATGTTTAGGACATCACTGAACCACAACGAGAGTCATTGTCTGTAAAGTGAAAACCCTAAGAGTAAAAGTGTCAATCATGGAAGAGAAGCAAGGCAGAAAACACTGCTATTCAAAAGAAACTGCAGTGCTGGTCTCACATGTGCAAGGGAGCACCGGGACAGTACCTTTATATCTCCCTAAGTACCTTTATATCTGCTGTTAAACAAGTTCTGCATTCACAGTAGAAACATCATATCAGTAATTCAAACATGGTGGTGGTAGTGCGAAGGTGTGGGGATGTTTTGCTCCCTCAGGATCTGGACAACTTGGTATTATTGACAAAACCATGAATTCTGTTCTGTATCAGAGAATTCTTAAGGAGGGTGTCTGTCTCTAAACTGAAACTGAAACATAATCAGGTTATACAGGAAGACAGTGATTAGAAACGAAACAGCAAACCCATACCTGAACTGCTGAAAAAAAACAAAAGTAATGTTTTGGGGTGGCCTCGTCAAAGTCCTGACATGAACCTATTACAGCTACTGTGGCAGGACCTCAAATGGGCAGTTCATGCTCGGAAACCTACTTGAAGCAGTTCGGCAAAAAAGAGTGGGCTCAAATTCCTCCACAACAGTGTAAAATTAAAGAAAATTGTGATTGCAGGTATTGCTGCTTAAGGTCCAGAAACAAATTCTTACTTTTAAGGGGGCAGTTACTTTTAAAGGATTCACTGTGAAAAATAAAGCATTCACTGTGACAAGTATGCAATAATAAATAAGAAAAAATATAGGAAATGCCTTTTAACAGCACAGTAGATTGGATGTAGATATTTTAGCTATGTTTATTACAATAACTTAATAACTTAAAATATAATAATTTACTCTATATAATCTACATAATTTATCTGTTATACAGATATGCAATCTACAAGGGCCCTACATAGCTCCCACTTCAATTCTTCACTCTTGCAACTAATACTCTTCCCCATTAGTTTCACAATAGTTACCTAATAAGTGATAGTAGTTTTTGAATAATAAGCTTGTAGTTTAAGTGGTTAATATTATTAATCTATTATGTAAATATAATTAATCCATGTCTAATCTATATATGAAATTCTAATGTGTTGAACCAAAACTATTATTCAAATAAGTCATGCTTAGTATAGACACATCAGTCTTCAGACTGCTTAAATATGTTTTGAGAAGACCCTAAAATATAGTGGCATCAGAAAACACCTAGTACAACATTTTGTTGTGATTCAGGCCTGTGTGGTTGTTATTCTTGGTCAGGTGTCTGTGGATGGAGGCTGGGGCGAGTGGAGGCCGTGGCAGCAGTGCTCCAGATCATGTGGAGGAGGAGTAATGTTCTCTTACAGAGAGTGTGATCAACCATCTCCTCAGAATGGTGGGAGCTACTGCGAGGGCCAGAGAGTGCGGTATAGGTCCTGTAACACACAGGCCTGTGAAAACAGCCACGGTATGTTACACTCTACTCTTTACAGAGCAGTGTTTTCAAATCCTGGTCCTGGAGTAGGCCTGCACATGTATTGTTTTCTCTGCTATAAGGCTGCACAATATGTAAATTGTTAATTATTATTATATTTGCATTTGAAATACTGATATCGCGAAAGTCTGCAGCATGTAAACTACCAATCACAGCTGCAACTGAGTGTTTTGATAAATCAAGGTGTTCATATTAAAGCAAAAGATTTCAAAAGGGAGGGTGTTATCGCAAATAACACATGACCTTGAGTGCTGTGTTGCTTTTCGAAAACAGTTATGCAAAATAAAGAAAATAGTAAAGCAAAGAAGCCCTGAATATTGCATCATCAACGAATCTTTAATATTTGCAATTTCCTCTGCCACAAAAGGGATAACCATTTGTGTCATGGATAGAGCCATAAAAGTGCTGCAATATCTGGTTCAGCTCATCTCTTTCAATATTTGCCAGATAAACTTGTGTAACGGGTTTTGCAATTTTTAATATTATTATTGCTATAACCTTATGTGAGGGTGTGAGGTAACCCGGATTTATTTGAAGTCTACAGACCAGGGCAAGAGAGAGAAACGCTCGCACCGAGGATGCTTCAGAAAAGGGAATTTATTGGCTAAATATCAAACTACTTTTGGACTACATTCAATGATAAACAATAGAAAATAAAACAAGAAAACAAAACAAACAAAGTGATAGTAATGAAAGTAATGGGTCGTCTCAGGACAGACTCGATCGAAGGCTTGAGCTCACGCGGTGGTTCCTCTCCTAGCTGGCCGTGGATGCTGCATCTCTGTGCGGCACGCGCCTTCCCATCAGTGATTGGGCGGAGGCGTCTCGTGGCCGTCTGACGGTGGAGCTTGGGCGGCATTTCGAGGGTCGATCTGTTCACAGATCAGTGCGTGGCTCTGGGTGCGATGCTGGGTCTCCGTGGCGTCAGAACCGCTCCCACTCCGCTGGCGAGGTTCAGGTTGCAATCAGGGTTCTGAGGCTGGTGGTACCAATTTAACTAACAACCTCTCTTTAGCAGAATCGAAAGTTATGGATATATTCTCCCTGGCCCGACAAGAAATATCCACCTTCCTTCTCTGAGGGTGGTTCAAACTTAAGGTGTGTAGGCGAACAGGCGAACAAACAAAGGTTTCAGATCTGATCATTTAGCGTCCTAATACTTCTGACCTGTCTTTCTGACCTAGGCCGGCACAAACTTAGAAACTTGTTGCGAACGCAGGAACTCCCTAAATTTTCGGTGCACTCTGGTTTTGTTCAGCTGGAGGCCCTTCCCTTCAGGGGTGGAACCCAGGTGTTGATAGGTTCTCTCACCTAACGGGTAATTAGCTATTCCTAATTCTTGGTCCTGATTGGTGTGGGTTTTCCTGTCCTACCAGGGAACTCCCTCCTTTGTTCCTTCTAGGTTTAAAAGTTCAATGCGATTGAACAAAACAGTTTTCAGATCAATTAGGTTACTAAAATCCATAACCTACAAACCTAACATTTAGGTATCTACGTGCAGTTTCTACCCACATTATCTGAGAACAACTATGGCAAAGGCAGAAACAATCTTATAGATAATCCTTGGGTGTCTTTTCATTGCAGGGACTTTCAACACAGTAAAATCATTACTTCAAATGACAATTAAGTAAATGAGAAGAGTAAAGATATAGAAGGCTAAATAAAATAAGTGACAAGAAAACCTAGGTGCATAGTGGTCTAAAATCACTACTTTAAATGGTTATTTCGGTAACTTCAGACATTTATCCCACACATTCCTAACGTCTGACAAAGAAAGGATGAATACACTTTAAGTAACTGAGTATACAAATACAAGCATCATCACTCGTGAAATTAGATAAAGTTGATAGTCGACAATGCATATCAATGAGTTTTCCTGGGATCCTTTGTGAGTAACAGTCCTTAGGTGGTGGCGTGGTAATCCTCGTTTTCACCCCTTGGGGGTGCTGTGGGTCCATGCTTGAGATCCCTAGGGAATTTAGAAAGTTGGAATTTTGCCGTCCAAAGTCGTACAAATTCCGTTTTGGTATGTCTAGTTTAGTTAAAAAGAGTTCTAACGAATGGTTGTAGTTTGGAGGGGACAAACACCTTAGTACTTTCTTTTACTTAAGAAAAATTTGTCCACAGGATTTTGGAGAGCCGTGCAGCTGCATTCCAGTGAAGGGTCCTGTTTTTCTCCAGGTCAAAGGAGAGAGAGGGGTGCTGCTCCTTGATTCAGCCCTAAATCGACTGATTTTGGGAGTTGGGGGTGATAAGTGACAGATTTACACCTCCAGCTCCAGACTCGCTGGAGCCAAAAGGCTTTTAGTTTTTGGTTGTTGAGTTTAAGTAAACAGTCAACTTGAGGTCATGTTTCGGCCAGTGTTTGTTTCAGCCAGTGTTTGCTACACTTGCATGTCGTTTTGTTCCAGCCAGTCTATAAAGCAGAGTTGTTCAGTACTTGTCCTGGAAATCTACCACCGCAGAGAGTTCAGTACTTGTCCTGGAGATCTACCACCCCAGAGAGTTCAGACCCAACACACCTGACTCTAATATTCAGATGCTCCTGAAGGCCTTGATTACCTGGATTAGGTGAGTTAGATTAGGGTTAGAGCTAAACTCTGCAGGGTGGTAGATCTCCAGGACCAGGATTGGGCACCCCTGCTATAAAGCATTTTACAGCCCACCTTGTTTGCTGAATTGTATTCTGGAATTTGATGTAGGCCTGCTGTCATAGTCTTTTTCAGAATCTGATAAAGTTAGTGCAGGACAAATATTATCTTATAAAAGTTTAATGTCTAATATATCAGCTTTCTGTTTTTGTTTTTGCTAAAGTAGAAAATTAGTAGCAGTTAAAGGCAGTGTAAAGCGTCATTACTTAGCGACTGGTGCTTAGGGGAATGATACAGTTAATGGGGAAAGAACAGGTAGAGGGCTTCTTAACCAATCAGATCGTGCTATCACAACTAACTGTTGTACAGGTCAATTAGTTGTTCTCCATGAATGATTATTTTTAAATTATTGTAGATCTTTAATTAATTAATTTAATTCACTTTCTGTTTTAACCGTGTGTTTCAGGGAGTATCACCATCACATGATGTAGCAATATAATTTTGTCCATATTATGCATCCCTGCTATGTTTCTGTCACCCCTGACTCAGATCATCAGCAAATGAATAAACCCTTCACTGATTACAGGGAAGCGCTTCCGAGAAGAACAGTGTGAAAAGTACAACAATCCCAATCATTTTGATATTTATGGAAACATCAAGCAGTGGATACCAAAATATGCTGGAGTGTCACCGCGGGACAGGTGCAAACTCTTCTGCAGAGCAAGAGGCAGCAGTGAATTCAGAGTGTTTGAAGCAAAGGTAAATACAGAACACACAAATGAAAAATCATGCTTGTTTATGAATTTGTTAAAACCTGCTTATGAAAAGAAAGAAAGCATGATGTTTTTTGGACTTCTAAATGATTTAAATATGTATCATCCAACTCTAGGTAATTGATGGAACAACATGTGGTCCAGATACCACATCGGTCTGTGTCCAAGGCCAGTGCATCAAAGCTGGCTGTGACCTGGAGATCGGGTCTAACAAGAAGTTTGACAAGTGTGGTGTGTGTGGTGGGGATGGACACAGCTGTAGGAAGATATCTGGATCATACAACAAAGTCATGTAAGATAAATAATAATTTCAATGCTTTTAAAGCTGTTACAGTCAACTCTGACTGTAAAGTCAACGTGTGTCGAGTTATTTGATGATTTGAGCATATTAAATAAAAACGGCAAATCAATAATTGCCTTGCGTGGTGCCATTAAAGCTCCACTTTTCTACCTTTCAGTGGGTGGTTCTTTAGAGAACCATTTTTGTAAATCAGATGTGAGAGTGTGAAGAACCTTTTTAAAGTTTAAAGACCCTCCACAAAGTATCAAGGTTCTCGGAAGCACTTTGCATCATTTGAAGGTTCTTTAAAACTTTAGTAGGTTCTTCACATTCACAGATATCTTGTTCAAACACATTTCTTTAGGGAACTAAAAGTCATATCACTCAAAAAACTCCTTGTGGCATCTTTTTTAAGAGTGTAGAAGAACCTTAGTTTTATGTTTATAATAAACTCTTCTATTTTCAGCCACGGATATAGTGATATTGTAACAATCCCAGTCGGAGCCACCAACATTGACATCAAGCAGCGCAGCCACGGAGGCGTAAAACATGACGGAAACTACCTCGCGGTCAAGCGAGAAAACGGCGAGTATATACTGAATGGCAACTTCTCAGTGTCCACTGTAGAGCAGGACATTCCAGCTCGTGGAGCTATTCTCAAGTACAGTGGCTCGGCCACCACCTTGGAGAGGATTCAGAGTTTCCTTCAACTTCAGGAAACCATCACCATACAATTGCTTTCCACTGCTGGGGAGGCGAACCCACCAAAGGTCAAATACACATTCTTCATTCCTAAAGGCGTCTCTTTCAGTAAACCCAAAGAGAGGAACACATCTGTCCACATGATTCATCCTTTCGGTGTTCCGCAGTGGGTGTTAGGAGAGTGGGCCGAATGTTCCAAAAGCTGCGGCTCGGGATGGTCTAGGAGAGCCGTGGAGTGCAAGGACAATGCTGGCTTCTACTCAAACCACTGTGACAAAGACCTCAAACCCACTGATATCAGGCCTTGCGCAGACCTGCCATGCCCCATATGGCAAATCGGGCCTTGGTCTTCATGTTCCCGAACATGTGGTCTTGGAGAACGCCGCCGCAGTGTGCTCTGCATCGATTACACTGGGAAGGCTGTTGAGGAAGAAAAGTGTGATGCTTCCAAGCAACCCAAGCCAGTATCTGGAGACTGTATGTACCAGGAGTGTTAGCAGCCTCTAAGCAGGCTTTGGCCAAAGAAGAGGCTAGATATTTTAGAATGAACTACTAACCACCTTGACAGAGCTTTAAAGCAAAGCAGGAAAAGCTTAGTTTTAGAATGAAGAACTAAACTGACCTGAGTGACCAGGCTTTGGCCTGTTTGAATGAAGCTTTGTATTTCTGAGTGCTGTTGCCAACATTTATTTATAACCACTATTTTTCAGTAGAGATCTACCTCAACAGGGATATATTGTTTTTTTAATAACCTTCTCCCTTTTTTCCATGCAGTGAAGCTGTTGAACAAAAGCTGTCAGACAGTCCACTCCTCATAATTCATTTTCCACACATTTTATCTTTTGTAATTCCAGGTGCTACTGTATATAGGATGTGAAGTTGGTAAATCCTTGCCATTTCCCCCGAGTGCCAAAGTGATATTAGTGCATATCATTGCATAATTCTAAATATTTACATTTTTTAGTGCTGTATGTCTTACGGAAAGATTTATTGCTATCATTTTACATATTCCTGGCTATAAGAAGAATTCATATGTCCTGTTATTGGGTCAAGGTGCTAATGATTTCTTTGCATTGTGTTATCTTTTACATGTGATACAAAGCAAATTGAATCATCCTTCCAGTTTATGGTAGCTTTAAACAGACATGCTTTAATTTACTGTATTGCCTGTCTTTTGTTTGTGACAATTAACAGAAACTTGCAAATATGTCATATTACAGCTAACTATAATTATTTTGTACAGCTACTCAAATGTATGCTTATGTATATATATGTATTTCTAACTATTTAGAAAGTCATACAGTTGGATGTTCATCCAGAATTAATGACTTTTTATAGTCTGTACAGAACTGTTTACATCAAAAGTAAACATACCTGTAGTCTGATTATGACTTGCTCTGCAAATAGCGAGAAAAACCATGAACCGCAGAATCAGTAGGGTTTCCCTACTCGTTCCTCTGTTTTGTTGTAGTTAATATTAAGATCTGCAGTACTGTGCAGAAGTCAGAGACCACCCTTTATGTATTTAATTTTCAGAGTGGACATTAAGTACAAGTTAAGTGCCTTTACTACAGCATTCGTTCTTTCTGGGAGTCTTGCTTTCAGTTTTTCCACACCTCCAAAGTTCAGTCTTAGAAGTTGGATGCCTTTTCTGCTTCTCACAATTCAAGTCATTCAGTGACAGTAACAGCTTCTTTAATTTCTCCTCTCTCTCAAAGATGAGATTAAGTTCTGTTTATCTGATGGTGACAGGATTGGTGCTCTAGCGGTTGTTAGGGGTCCCATTTTCTCTACATCTTTTAATCATTTTTTGAACTTTAGTTTTGGCAATGCTTGTTTTTTCAACAGCCGGACTTTCTCTTTCCTTATGCAGGTGGATCATCTTATATCTAATCTCCTCAGAAATTTGTCCTGAAAAATGAATAGCTTGTACTTAATGGCCATTTTGACTGGAAATTAAATGAAGGGTGGTCTCTGACTTCTGCACAGTGCTTGAGTTTAGTACAATTTGAGACATGATGCAGCTGCATCATCACCAATAGAGTAGATGAAAACTCTTTAAAAACGTGCCCACATGAACAAAATTGGTCAACAGTTAATGTGTAATATAATAATAAAACATTGTATGATTGTTCCTGTTGTGTATATTACATGTATCGGACGTACAGTATAACAAATAAGGCAACGCACTTTATCCCTTCAGTGAAGGACCATGCCGTTTTTCTTTTGTAAGAGCTTCCTCATAGAGCTATTTATTTTTTTAAGGTTTATATTTTTAAAAAAACAAAACAAAATGTTTCAGATGCTGCTGTTTTAAGATTTTTTGGACATCTGTAAAATGGAAGGAAATGAACAAATGCACAGGTATATGAACGTTTCTCTGTGTGAGTGGATTTTTTGAAGCTTTTAATTTATCACAACTCAGAGCTTGTGTAAAAGCTTGTGTATAATGGAAAATCTCTCCTGCCTCTGAGGAGATACATAGCTGAGTAGCAGCTGCACTCCATCCTGCAGTGGGCTAAACATTTGGCTCTCAGCGAGATGCATCTGCAACAACTGTTATATAACCTGTCATTTTATTTTATATCCTTCTGTCCTTATCTTAAAAAGTCTCATTTTCAAGCAATCACAGTTCTCCAACACACAGTAAAGGAATGCTTGAGAAACGGAACACTCTTTGAAATGAGGGACTCCTTTTTGTGATTGTTTTTCTTTGGAGTCCAGTGGGAAGCATTTGTGGCAGCCAAGGTTGGCCTGACGTCTGTGATTTCTTCTGTTCTCAGATGTATCTATGTGTACGTGTCCACACACGTGAAGCTCAGACTTTGCCTTTCAGCCCATTCAGGTTGACATGCATTGATAAATGAATGACACGTTGATGGATGTATTTAAATGTATGTATATCTGTTGGATTGTTGTCATCCTCGCTCATCTTGGCAATCTGTTTGGCTTTGAAGAAATAAATGAATCCTTTGCATTAAATGAGTCATGTCTCTAACAGCAGCTCTTCTTGATGTTTCTAAGGAGGCTTTTCAGAAGCTCTGCCCTGATTCCTTAGCAAATTGAGCAAAATGCATTCTTTGGTAGCTAATATTGTGCAGTTGGACAAGCTTTTCAAAACACTTGCAATCAACCTAATGAGTAATGAATTAATAATTAGGTCAGACTTTAGGTATACTGTATATAGTGTGGAGTCTCCAGTTTAAAATGCCAGCTACCAAGCTGGTTGGAACCAACAAAAAATTTGTCACCATGCTAATGTTTAGCCCAAATGCACAAAAAAAGACACCCCATCCATCCTAACCGTGTGACATTTTTCATTGCTGTACTTTTTAGGGAACATTTACATTGTTTGTACCTTGGCAACATACATGTACCTATATAGTACAACAGTGTTTGGGAAAATTAATGGCATTTTCCAAAATCTCCTATTTTATACTTTGAGGTAGAAAAAAAATATTACTAAGCAAATACGTTCTGCCCAATGTACAATTTCCATTAATGTCATATATGGGATTTCCATCCACCTCTTTTATGCTCATTTTGAAAATATGCATTGAAAACCTTGTTGGAAATGCCAGAAATGAGAAAAAGGCCTAGATATTGCCAAATAAGTTTTTATGCTTGGGTAAAGTGGGAAAACTTGGTTTATTGATCATGGAGAAATGCAAATACTGCTGTAGCAGGAACCAAAGTCATATGTTTACCTCTATGTCCACTGTGTACCCTTGAGTATTTGTGAGGGTATCTTGGGTGCCGGAAAGGTGGCACAGTGACTTCAGCCCTCATTAAATGGACCACTGCCCGATCCTCCTCCTGGAGATCTACTTTCCTGCAGAGTTTTGATCCAACCTACATCTAACATGCTGCTCCCCTCAACACTCTGATCCAGCCTGTCAAGGACTTATGAAGAAGTTAATTAGTGGAGCAGGTGTGGCAGATTGTGGTTTGACTGCAGAATTACAGTAATGTACAGCTGACAGAGGGCTGACAAAACTTTCCTATTAAGAGCTAATAAAGGTCAAACTTATATTTTATACGGCCCGCACAATGAGCAAGAGTGTCTTACCGTATGCCGCAAGTGTGTCGCGTCATCTTCAGGAATTTGCATGAATGAATTAATTCAATACTATACACTTTCTATATGCATGCTAACACTCCTGCACATTGCATGAAAGTAATGCTAATACTACAGCGGTGCTTGAAAGTTTGTAAACCCTTTAGAATTTTCTATATTTCTGCATCAATTTGACCTAAAACTTCATTAGATTTTCACACAAGTCCTAGAAGTAGATAAAAAGAACCAAATTAAACAAATGAGACAAAAATATTAAACTTGGTCATCTATTTATTGAGGAAAATTATCCAATATTACTGATCTGTGTGTGGCAAAAGTATGGAAACCTTTAGGATTAGCAGATAATTTGAAGGTGAAATTAGTCAGGTGTTTTCAATCAATGGGATGTCAATCAGGTGTGAGTGTCCACCTTGTTTTATTTAAAGAACAGGGATCTATCACAGTCTGATCTTCACAGCACGAACAAAGGAGATTTCTGAGGACCTCAGAAGAAGAGCTGTTGATGCTCATCAGGCAGGAAAAGATTACAAAACCATCTCTAAAGAGTTTGGACTCCACCAATCCACAGTCAGACGGATGGTGTACAAAAGGAGGAAATTCAAGACCATTGTTACTCCTCAGGAGCGGTCGACCAACAAAGATCACACCAAGAGCAAGGCGTGTAACAGTCCGCAAGGTCACAAAGGAACCCAGGGTAACTTCTAAGCAACTAAAGGTCTGTCTCACAGTGGCTCCTGTTAATGTGCATGGCAGGGTTGCACGGAGAAAGCTGCTGCTCTCCAAAAAGAACATTGCTGCCTGTCTGCAGTTTGCTAGAGATCATATGGGCAAGCCAAAATACTATTGGAACAATGTTTTGTGAACTGATGAGACCAAAATAGACCACGACCCTAAGCACACAAGTTGTTCTTCAACTTCTTCAAATAAAGTTAACGTTTTGGAATGGCCAAGTCAAAGTCCTGACCTTAATCCTTTAGAAATGTTGTGGAAGGACCTGAAGCAAGCGGCTCATGGGAGAAAGCCCACCACCATACCAGAGTTGAAGCTGTTTTGTACAGAGAAATGGGCTAAAATTTCACCAAGCCGATGTGCAGCACTAATCAACAGTTACCAGAAATGTTTAGCTGCATTTATTGCTGCACAAGGGGGTCACTCCAGAAAGCAAAGGTTCACATACTTTTGCCACTCACAGATATGTAATATTGGATCATTTTCCCCAATAAATAAACGACCAAGTCTGATGTTTTTGTCTTATTTGTTTAATTTGGTTCTCTTTATCTACTATTAGGACTTGTGTGAAAATCTAATGAAGTTTTAGGTCAAATTTATGCAAAAATCTAGAACATTCTAAAGGGTTTACAAACTTTCAAGCACCACTCTATATACTTCAACACTATACTATCAACACTATCTAATCAGCTAAAAAGTGTAGGATGATAACTGCAATTTATACACCTGAAAGGTTTAGGAAATATTCAAAAAGAAGGCAAATTACTCATTTTACCCTACCCTGGATTTCCTGACTAAGAGACCTCAGTTAGCCAGGATAGGTAATAACATCTCCAGCACCACTATACTGAGCACTGGCGCCCCTCAGGGCTGTGTGCTCAGTCTGCTGCTGTTTACCCTGCTGACTCATGACTGTACTGCAAAGTACAGCTCAAATCACATCATCAAGTTTGCTGATGACACGACTGTGGTGGGTCTGATCAGCAAGGATGATGAGTCGGCATACAGAGAGGAGGTGCAGCGGCTAACAGGCTGGTGCGGAACCAACAACCTGTCTCTGAATGTAGACAAAACTAAGGAGATGGTTGTTGACTTCCGAAGAGTGCGGGGTGACCACGCCCCACTGAACATCACTGGCTCTGCTGAGGAAATCGTCCAGAGCACCAAGTTCCTCGGTGTCCACATCACAGAGAATCTCACCTGGTCCCTCAACACCAACGCCATAGCCAAGAGAGCCCAGCAGTGCCTCTACTTCCTACGGAGACTGAAGAAAGCTCATCTCCCCCCCTCCCATCCTCACCATGTTCTACAGGGGGGCTGTGGAGAGCATTTTGAGCAGCTGCATCATCGTCTGGTTTGGGAATAGCACCGCCTCCGACCTCAAGACCCTACAGCGCATAGTGAGGACAGCTGAGAAGATCATCGTGGTCTCTCTACCCTCCATCATGGACATCTACACCACACGCTGCATCCGCAAAGACACCAGCATCGTGAACGACCCCGTCCATCCCTCGCACAGACTTTTTTCACTGCTGCCGTCTGGCAGAAGGTACCGGAGCATCCGTGCCATCACTGCCAGACTCTGCAACAGCTTTGTCCCTCAAGCAATCAGGTTTTTAAACTCACAAGGACTGAACTAAACCCACACACACTCATACACACCTCTTTTGATTCTCTACTTGCACTATCTATCTGGGACATTGCTGCCAATACTGTGTTTACACTGTGTTTACACTGTTTTTCACCACCTCAGTAATTGTTTTACTATCTCAGTAACTGCTGTGTTTATGTATGTTATCTGACGTAACTTACAGATCACATCATGTTAATATGTCTGCACCTTATTCCACTACCTCATGTCCAGAAATCTGTGCTG